GAAAATGGGGGGCGCTGGGGTGTTAGGTTCAAACCACGCGAAGATCGGGACAAAATCGGATCGGGATAACTCGAAGTCTCTGAGAATCGGCGGGTTTGGAGGATGTATTGGGCGCCGCGGCCGCTGCAGAGCGTTCTGGAACGCTCTGAGAGCGCTCCGGAACGCTCTGGAGCGATTTATCCCGATCCTAGCCCGGTTTTATAGGTGGAGCTCCCCATGGGGCCACGCAACATGTGAGGGGTGCGCCGACAGGGTTCGGGTCGAACGCAAGGGGGGGATTTGGGAAAGGGGGGGTGACAAAATCTGCTGCAGGCAGCTGGTTTCGGCCCCACCGAGGGGCCCATTCCTCGATACATAGCCGCCTCCTGCGCCAGGAGGCGCCGGGAAAATCAGCTACGTGAGCTGATTCTCAAACCCCCCCTTTGCTATCCCCCCCTTTCGCCCGGCCCGAATGGTGTGGAGAACGCATGCGGGTGCAACCAGTGGGGCCTTAGGTGGAGCTCCCTATGGGGACAGGAATCGTGTGAGGGCGGCCGGTGCCCCGACGCGGGCGCGGCGGAAAACGTTTGGGCGCTCGTCGCGGGGCCAGCGGCCTTGAGCTTCCCAGGCGTGCTCGCGTCGTGAAAGTGCAGGGCGGAGGTTTTTCGCCGTTTTCCGGGCTCTGGAGGCCTTCGCTGGGCCTTGGGGCCGTCAGAAAACAGCTCAGGATGAGAAACCGGTCCTGAGGAAAAGGTCGGGACTTCCAGGGACGCCGTCCTGAAAAAATCAGGCCGTCGCATGTCTTGGTTCCAAGAAGGCAGCAAAAATAGCACCAGGACATCGACGTTCTAATGCCTGTCGAGGTTTGATGCGGTCCAGACAGATCTACTATAGGTCTGGAGTGCTATATGTTTTAGAACTCTGAGAGGTCAGGGGAGAGGGGGGGATGGGCATGATTCAATCGCCCCCCTCGGGGCTCAAGAGACGAGGGTCAATGCAAACGGGGCGCACTCAGAGCGCCGGATCTTGCAAGATCCTGCAGGGCCAGGGGCGCATTGACTCGGGCTTGGGTGCAAGATCCTGCAGGGGTCCTGCAGGATCCTGTAAGGCCCGACTGGCCCGGGTTTGCATCTGCTCGGGTCAGTGAATTCCCCAACCCCCCCCCGTGGGTTCGAGGGGGGGGGTGTGCGCGTGCTGTCTTGGGGGGGGTGTATTCGGGGGGGGGGCAGTCTTGAAGCCCAGGCTCCTGAGCCAGGCGGGGGGGGGGGGGGGCTGCGAATTTGTGACGCACGTCGAGGGGCGGGCGGGCGGGGGGGGGGGGATGGGAGCGCTCCGTCGGAAGGTCAGTCGCCCCCTCCCCCCCGAGAGTTCTGCCATCCGGAGTAGGGGGGGGGGATGGGCCTGCGGGGAGGCCGGAAGCGCACATGAGGCGTTTCGGAAAAGGGTCTTGCCTTCTGGAGGATCGGAGGAGGAGTGGTCCTCTCCTCCGCCGGCGCGGAAGGGCGGCGGAATGTGGCGGAAGTAGAAACCATGCCACCAGCAGATGCACACGTTGTTGGGTTCAGGGTTTCCGAAATCGGCCAGATGTGGGCCGCGCCAGGTCGTGTTGCATGCTTTTCTCGGGGCCAACGATAGGGTGGGGATGGGCATGCGTCGAAGAAGACAAAACGCCAGAAACTTTTTTTTTGGCGCTCCGCGCGGATTTCCTTGGATCCGCGCTGGGCCCCCCCGGCGGCGCCTCCAGCGCCGCCCCTGGCGCGCTCCGCGCGCCAGGGAGGGGGGTCCGGCGCAGATTCAAGAAATCCGCGCGAAGCGCCAAAAGTTTACGGTTGTGGCGTTTTTTTTGTTTCTTTTTTTCTTCCTCTTCTTCTAACGTGGGTAGGCTGTAAACACGTATGTGGGCCAGGCCAGGCTGTGTTGCATGCTTTTGGCCTCCGGCAGTTTTGTTTCAGTCTGGCCGCGCCGAGCCTGAAGAAGGGTAGTGCAAACCCTCTCGGAAGCCATCCGCTTGTGTGCATCATTCCCAGGGGCCCGCGCTTTGCGGTTGTCGTTGCGGTCTGTTGCTTCCGCGGCAGGCTTTGCCAAAGAGACCGGAGGCTCCTTGGGGCTACCATGAGTTTTTTTTGGTTAGTGGTCGGGGCATGGTCGTCTTCTGTTTTGACGCGAGCGCGGTTTTCCCGCCCATTTCACTACTCTAAACCGTTCTGTCCGCAGCGTTTCCAGTCCTTCGTGCTTCCTGCCTCCCCGTGGGGGTGTGCATCGGCCTCGAGTGGTTGACACATCGACGATGCGTCGACGATGCATCGTTGATGTCAGGGCGACGTATCGAGGATCGTAGCACCGTCGACGCGTCGTGAAACTACCATAGACTTGGAGGGGTCAGAGGGGGTCGGGGTTCGAGGGTCGAGGTTTTCAGACGTGCCCGCCGGTCACCGACAGTTTCTGTTCAGCCTCGGGATGCCTTCCCGCAGCTGCGCATCTCCGAGAGCATTCGGGGGATGCCAGATCGTCCCGAACGGTCGCCAGAGACCTTAGAGATACGGCCCAAGCACTGTCATCCTCGCGCCCAGCGTTTCCGCGCGTTCTCGGTCCCCAGTCGTGATTGCCCCGCAGCCCTCGTGACCGCCAGAAAGATCCCAGTCAGGAGGAACAAAAAGCACAGACACAATTCATCGTCGAGTCCCAGGAAAATTGATGGGAAAAAATGGGAAGTGGGGGGAAGACGAAAACTCAGAAAATATGCAGAATAAGGGAAATCCTTGGATGTGTGCCTATGTATTTGTGTGTTTGTGGGCCGCTTCAAACCCTCGTGATCGCCAGAACCATCCAGACCCCGACCAGACGGGGCAAGGCAGATTTCCTAGAGTACCCCCTTCAGGTGAAGACGGTTGCTGCGAAACCTGCGCGAGGCGGAGCCCATCTCTACCTACGGGGGGGTACGTCGGCTGGCGGGGCCCAGATTTCCCTGGTTAGGTGCAGGAGGGGTAGTCTGGTTTGTTTGGCAACCTTGCTCGGTCAATCCCATTCCCGATCTCAACGAAGACAGGACACAACAAATAACAGCCTGGTGAAGGACCCAACCATGAGCAGTAGTGAGTATTTAAGTTATGAGTATCGTTCTCGGTGGAGCTCTCGAATGAGGCCACGAAATGTGTACGTGGTGTGCCGAAGTGGTGTGGAGAATGCATGCGGGCCCTTGCACTGGGGCCTTAGGTTGGGCCCCCTCTGGGGCCTCGAAACGCGTGAGGAGTGCGCCAGAACAGTGTGGACAAGGCATGCGGGCGCAATCACTCTGGCCTTAGGTGGGTTTTCCCACGGGGCCACGAAACGTGTGAGGGGTGCCACGAAATGGTGCGGAGAACGCATGCGGGCCCTGGCATTGGTGCCTTGGGTGGAGCTCCTTCTGGGGCCGCGGAACGTGTGAGGGGTGCGCCGACATTATGTGGCCACGAAACGTGCGATGGGTGCGCAAGAAATTGTATGGAGAAGGCATGCAGGCCCCGGCACAGGGGCCTTAGGTGAAACTCCCTATGGCGCCACGAAATGTGAGACATGTGCGCCGACATGGTGTGGAGAAGGCACGTGGGCGCAACCGCTTGGACCTTAGGAGGGGGCTCTTTCTGGAGCCACAGATTGGTGTGGATCACGCATGTGGGTGCAACCACTGGGGCCTCAGGTGGAGCTCCCTATGGGGCCACGACGCGCGTGAGGGGTGCGCCGAAGTGGTGTGGAGAACGCATGCGGGCGCAACTGGAGAAGGCATGCGGGTGCAACCACTGGGGCCTCAGGTGGAGCTCCCGATGGGGCCACGGAATGTGTCATGGGTCATGGGTGTGGACGAGGCATGTGGGCGCAACCATTGGGGCCGTAGGTGGAGCTCCCTATGGGGCCACGTAACATGTGAGGGGTGCGCCGAAATGGTTTGGTCTATGGGGCCTTTGGTGGAGCTCTCTTTGGGGCCACGGAACGTGTGAGGGGTGTGCCGACGAGGATGAGGCTGATGATGTGGATGATGATGATGATGATGATGATGATGAAGATGAGGATGAGGATGAGGATTATGATGATGATGATGATGATGAGGATGATGCTGATGACGATGCTGTTGCTACTGATGATGACGATGCTGATGAAGAGGACGATGCTGCTGGTGATGATGATGATGGTGATGATGATGATGCTGCTGCTGAGTATTATGATGCTGAGGCTGATGACGACGATGTTGATGCTGCTGATGAGGATGCTGATGACGATGGCGATGCTGCAGATGATGGTGCTGACGATGCTGATTATGATGATGCTGATGCTGATGACGATGTTGATGACGCTTATACAGGTGATTATGAAAATGATGTTGCTGATGATGCTTATGCTGCTGATGATGTTGATGATGATGCTGCTACTGATGATGATGTTGATGATGCTGATTAGGATGACGATGCTGATGCTGCTGCTGCTGATGATGATGATGATGATGGTGGTGGTGGTGGTGATGATGATGCTGATGATGATGATGGTGATGATGGTGATGATGATGGTGATGATGGTGATGGTGGTGATGATGATAAGGAGGAGGAGGAGGAGGAGGAGGAGGAGGAGGGGGGAGGAGGGGGGAGGAGGGGGGAGGGAGGGAGAGAAGGGGGGAGGGAGGGAGGAGGAGGAGGGAGGAGGAGAGGAGGGGAGGAGGAGGAGGAGGAGGAGGAGGAGGAGGAGGAGGAAGGAGGAGGAGGAGGAGAAGGAGGAGGAGGAGTAGGAGGAGGAGGAGGAGAGAGAGATGAGGAGGATAGGGGGGAGGGGGGGGGGTGGAGGGGGGGTGGGGGGTGGGGAGGGGGGGGGGGGGGGGGGAGGAGGAGGAGGAGGAGGAGGAGTGAGGAGGAGGGGAGATGAGGGAGGAGGAGAGAGGAAGAGGAGAGAGGAGGGAGGAGGGGAGAGGCGAGGGGTGCGGGGCTTCGCGTGCTCGAAGCGAGGACCCATCACCACAGGACGGTTGGAAGCAGCACAAGGATAGGCTTAAGTCGGGC